GATGACTCCCTAAAATTGCAATCAAATATATATATATATATATATAAATTATATATTTCAAAACATATATTTATAATATACAGTATATATATATATAACTATTTTTAATTTGTTTGAAACATTTACAATCAGATAAATAAATATATTTATATATATTTATATACAGTATATACACTATATTAATATCCTCTAATGTTATGCAAGTTTATAATATCTAAATATACAGTATATATAAATAAAATAAAAATTTTAGTACACTGTTGCTATAATATTATAAATATTTTTTTAAATGTAATTATACCACAAATTTTTTTCATCCCCGACAACACACACACACACACACACACACACACACTCATACATAAATACATACACACCTTATATATAATATTTATTTGTATAATATATATAAATATATACCAAACCTTGTGATCCATAGCCTTGAATGCCTAATGTTTAGCTAACAACAAAAAAAAATTTTTAAACATTTTTTTTATAACAAAACGCTAATTATATTTGTAATCACATGCGAGTGTGTGTGTGTGAGTAAGTGACTGAGTGAGTGAGTGAGTGAGTAATTTATTGTATGAGTGAGTGAGTGAGTAACTACTAAATTACCGATCCTTTATATATATATATATCCAATAAAGACAATTATATTTATTATATTATATTATACTGGATATTGCCATCAGATAGAGAGAGAGAGAGAGAGAAAGAGAGAGAGAAAGAGAGAGAGAAAGAGAGAGAGAAAGAGAGAGAGAAAGAGAGAGAAAAAAAGTTTATCTATTGTTTTGTTTGACATTAAAATCCATTGCAAAATAAATATCATATGTATATAAATCCATTATTTTTTTTAATAATTTTATTATTTAGTACTGAATTTATTATATTATATATATATATATATATATATACTTTTATAAAAATTTTATTTTTTGTTTTTTGAAAAATTACTCTTCAAAAAAACCATATGACTAAAACTATTATATATATAAATACTGTATTGTTATTATTATTATTATTATTATTATTATTATTATTATTATAACTATACAGTATATATATATAGTATATTATATGGTATATAACAGTATAGCTAATAATGTGGTAATTAAAATAAATTTTAATATATACAAAAAATAAATAAATTAGTTTTATTGTTGTTGTTTTTGTATAACTTGTAGTATAATATAAATATAATGTTTAAAAACTAACAACAAACTGGTTAACCAAATATATGTAATAAAATAAATTAAAAGAAAATAAAATAATTATTACTGTATAATAATAATAATAATATACAGTAAAACTTATATTGTTTATATAATCTCTCTCTCTCTCTCTCTCTCTCTCTCTCTCTCTCTCTCTCTTAAAATATCTGTAATATACAGTAATAATAATATTTTTTTCTATTAATATTGCTATTAATGGTGAGATTAGACACTTCTGGTCTAAAAAAACAAACAAAACCAACAAAACTGGTTGTCTCTTGAATTTTCAAAAAATTATTAAAAATAAAATAAAAATAAATATTACACTCAAATCTAAAGTCTAAAAACTTAAATACACAAAAAAATCTATATATAAATTTTTTTTGTTCATATATTTATCGCAACTCTAATTTTTTTTGGCAAATAAAATAAATACAACAACAACTAGAACTAGGAATTAGAGCTAAAAAAATGTATGTATTTTTATATACATTTTTTTGTGTAGATATATATATATATATATATTGATATTTATAGAGATATTTCCATAATATATATATATATATTTTTACTTTATTATATATACAATATATATATCACTCAATATTTATGAGTGGCAATCAATCATACGGTTTGTTTGATTAGATATTTAAACATTTATCTCTCTCTCTCTCTCTCTCTCTCTCTCACTCACTCACTCACTCACTCACTCTTAACCAATAATAATAAATTAAGATTTTATTACTAAACACATATTTGATTTGTCTGAAAAAAAAATAAAAAAATAAAATCATATGATTTTCAAAAAGTATTACCAATAATAATAATAATAATCATATAATAATTGCTAACATATGTTCATATAATTTATATATATATATAATAATAATAATTTATTATTAATAATAATAATAATTTATTAATAAATGAAAATAATGTTACAATAAAAAATAAATAAATTTTAGTCGTAAATATTAAATTATTTATTTTTGTAAATTTATTTTTATTATTATTATTTATTTTTATAATTTTCATTCAATTTATTCCAACTTTTTTGAATGTCAAATCAATTTGTTACAATTTTTTTTAATTAATTTTTAATTTTAAATTATTATTAATATTATTATTAGGTTTCTTATAAATTAAATATAATAATTATTTTGTTGTTGTTTTAATTTTTATTAAATATGTAAGAAAAAACATTTAGAAATATTATTATTATAATTAAAATTATTACTAAATTTATTTTATTATTATTATTATCTATTATTAAAATAGTACAGTAATAATAATAATGATAATTAATAATACAAATGAAAATAATAAATGAAATCACAAATGTTATGATAAATTACAACAAATATATTTATAATGAAAATTCAATTTCTTTAAGTGTTTCTATTAATTAATTAATTAATTAATTAAAATTAAAAAATACAAATTATTTAAATATACACATTTTTTCATAATAATTAAATTAAATTTATATAAAAAAAATTAAATATATATATATATAATGAATTGTCGGGGAGGAGGGGTGGGCGGGGGTTATGACTTGTGCAACAATTATATATATAATATAATAAATATATTTTTATATATATAAATAATTAAATATTTATACTCACAGTAGATATATGTATACATATATTTTGTTTATCATAATTTAATAATAATAATAATAATAATTATTATTATTATTATTAAATTATAAATAAAATGTCTTATCTTTATGTTTCTGTTTGTGACAACAAAAATCACTGTCAATAAACTCAAGTATACAATGAGTTATATATTTAATAATAATAATAATAATTATATATATATATATATAATTTATATTTAATGGTAATAGTTTTGAGAGGGAAATTTTTATTTATTATTATTATTATTATTATTTTTTATGTATATATATATATTATACAATAGATTTCAAACTTCAATAGGATATATAATTTATATATATATATAGATAATAAATTAAATTAAAATAAAACATGTTTTATATATACTGTATATATTCAATATGATTCATATCTCTACATATAATAACTATAGTCGTCTAACAATTTTTATTTTTTTGTTGTAAAACACACGTAAATTTACATTTTTATATACTATTTATATAATACATTTGTGTGATTAATATCTATATATATATTTGTCAATGATGTGCATTAGATATATATATATATAACTTAAATATATATATATATATATATATATAATCTATATATATATATATATATTAAAATTGGTATATAATTTTAGCTAAGGGAATGTCATATTTTATTATTATTATTATTAATTATTTTTGTATATATATATATATTGAGTGACATGACATTTATATCGTATTTTTATTTATTTATATTTTTAATTTTTGTTTGTTTTAACTATTTTTTTGTTGTATTTTTTTCGGATAGTCTCTCCAAAAAAAAAACCAATATTTTTTTTGGGGGTATTATTTTGTTATTATTATTTTGTTTCAATGAGTGTTTGAAAATGTGTGGCTTTTTTTGTGCATATTTTTGTTTGTTTGTTAACTATATATATATATATACAACATATTGTGTGCAATCATCACATACACTGTGTGTATATATATATATATAAACACATAAATAATAACAACTAATTGTATATAAAAAAAAATTAAATTAAAATAAAATTATTTATACAAAAAAAACTGAAAACTTCTAGTCATAACATGAGATGAAAAAATAATATATATATATTTTTTTGTTAATTTAATATATAATTATATATATAATCTATCAAAACAACTATCAATAATAATAATATTATTATTATTATTGTAAACAATGTCTGGAAAAATAATATCTAAATACTAAAGTGAAAAAAATTGTTTTTTGATATTTAAATCGACTAAAAAATTTGTGTTTTTTTCAAATTATATTTAAAGCGTAATATACGTACAAATATCACTCAAATTTTTTTCTTAATTATTAATAATAATTTTTTTTGTTTGTTTGATATAACTATATAACTAATAACTATTTTTTTGAAACAAATAATATCATAGAAAACAAATGGGAGAAAAATATATATATATATATATAATACAAAACAAACAAATAAAAAAACAAATGACTTTATCTCACTATTGGTTAACAACTAACTAACTAATTGTTATTATTATTATTATCAGTTAATCAATCAATCAATCAAATAATAATAATAATAATATAAACAAAAAATAATAATCAATTTAACAAATAAAAAAACAAATGGCTATTTTGTGCAAAATATTTATATAATAATAGTAATTAAAAAAAAAAGTTTGAGTAAATATTATTTGTTTGTTTGATTTTTAAAAAAAATATATATATATAATAATTATTATTCAATTGCGACCACAGTTTCATATGAGATATAAATTATTATTATCGTTATTATTATTATTATTCAATATATATTTATTCAATTAATTAATTAATTATATACTATATATATATATACTAACTAACTAGAATTTAAATTAAATAATTACAAACAATATGCAATTATACGATTAAATTAATTTCAATGTAAATAAAATGATAGATACAGTATTAGCAGTAGTAATAGTAGTAGTAATATATGTATATAAATAATGTGTAATTATAACTATTATTATTATTATTATTAATGAAATTTTTAAATGAAAATAATAATTATAATTAATATAATTATAAAAAAAAATTGAGAAAAATAATAAGATATGCAAAAAAAAAACTTAACGTTTGTTTGTTTCACAATATATAAACGTTTGAATAATAATTATTATTAATAATATTATATTACATAAGTGTGAGATCCGACACACATATATCGATATCGAGACATCCATCAGAAAAAAAGGTATTCAGGTATTGGTGTTTATGTTGTTGTTGTTGGTGGAGATGTCTGTCTGTGTTGTTGTTGGTGTCGTCGACAGGACTGTCAAGTAGGTGTACTATCGTAGGCCCTGACAAAGCCGTGACTTTGCAAAACAAACAGCCTTTTTTCGACCGCTTCCTTATAGCGATTCAATAGTTTCTTATCGTTTTCATTAATATAGGACTGTTGGGATAGCGAGTGCAACAGTATCTGTGCCGTCTGATAGCGTCGAAAGCACTGGTAGTTTATTTAATTAATTAGTATTAATAATAATCATATCATATATCATATCAAGTTTTTATATATATATATACATACCTCAGCTGGTCGTCCAAATAGTTCCTCGAGAGCTGCCGATTGGCACATCTCTATCGAGTAATTATACAGCAATTTATCTGCAGATATACTTTCGATGGCCCTTTCATTAGTACTATTGATTAGTACCGTATTGTTCAACGATTTACAAGTGGACAGACACTCGTGAAAACTGTCTTTCATTGTACACAACACTGTATAGTATAGTATATCATATATATCGGATCCGATGATGATATGGGGAGGTTATGATATGGAAATGCAAACATAAAAATAAATAAATAAAATATATATATAAATAAAATGTTAGTTTTTTCCTCAAGTTTTTTGACCCAATAATTGAAAAAAATTGCATAATCACTACACACACACACACACTATATAGTAGTAGTCATTACTACATTAATCAGTCAATTTGATAATAACTGATACAAACACATGCATACATACATACACACACACACTACATGTACATACCTGTGCGCACTGATGTCGATGCTCTCAGTCGTCCCGAGTTAATCTCCTTACGCGACAATTGTAGAGCCGATGACAATAGCTGTAAACACCGTACGTATAGTACTAATTGTTCAGCTTTTCGATAGGACTCGCTTTGCACCTGTAGTTTGTATGGGTAAACATATAACACAAAAATATATATATATATATATATTTAACTATAAAACAAAACTAAACAAATAACACAAAAAAAATCAATGACTAACCTCTTTGTTGTTTTCATTATTACTATTCGTATTGTTGTTAACCGATTCGGTTAATACCGATAGTGGCGACGCTTTAGTATCGGCCAAATCCTGTATACAATCGACCAGTGCTAACACAAAATTCAATTTGGCTAACGTTTCGTTGTGTTCGCGATCGAGTAGTGTTTCTTCTGGTAGTTCGGGTGCCGTAAACATTATCGGTTCGGTCGGCGACTGAGCCATCGATGACGGTAACGGTGCTGCGGTTGTTGTTGTTGTCGGCGAATGTGGTCCATAAGCGCCGTGAAAGGGAAACATCTGAGGATATGGATTGGCCCGATGGCTGCGCTGCTGACTATGTTGTCCACCCGGGCCGCCGCCATGCATATCACTGTAGGTGATCGCACGGGGAGGCGATGCAAATCCACCCAACGATGGCCTATTAGGCGACGACATATTAGCCATCGATGGCTCGGTTTTACTCGATCTGAGTATCCAGTGATGTGTTTGTTGAGGATAGTATGGATATTCAGCCGGACCGCCACCACTACCGGTGCCGCCGCCCACATACGCCCCCATCAACGGTGTGTCACATATGGCCGGTAACAGTGGCGACTGTGCACTGTTGGCGTAACCGGTCATCAACGGTGGTGTCAATTGCCGGAGAAATGGATTGACATTAAGTGCCGGTGCACTGCATCGGCGCGAACCGGGCGACAAGTATCCCGAATTAGCGCCGCCGCCACTACCACCGCCAGCACCGGGCGGTGTATTCGAACCGATCATAAACTGTATGTTTGGTGGCGAGAGTTGACTAATATCTGCCACAAAACGACTACTTTTTGTGGTACTATTTCCACTGCCAGTTGATCCCAACGAACTATTTGAATCGTATCGCTGCAGAGCTTTATGAATGGCATTCGGTGTAGTCGGCGGACTGGTAGCCATCAAACCGTTGTTATTATTGTTACCACTGTTGCTGTCGCCGCCACTTAGACTACAATTAGATCCAGTACTTCGTTGAATTAGTGCAGTAAATGCTTCCTTTTGTGTGGGAACTGGTAGTGGTTCGCCGGGACAGACAAATGGTGAACCTTTGTGTTTAAATGCATGTCTTGTCGTTGCTGTTGTTGTTGTCTTATGTTTCGGTGACGGAGTTCGGGCCATAACTGTATTACTATTCGGATCGGCCGTAACCATAACAAAGTCGTCCATTTGTTCGCATGAGTTATCAGATGATGACTGAGTTGATACAGAATCGTCGCCATCAACACCACCACCGCCGCCGCCGCCAGCTTTGACCAGCGGTTGTCGGTTCTGTTGTGGAGTCATCAGTGTTGCCGTTGTTGTTGTCGTTGCCGGCGAACCATACGATACGGGCGACTGTAGCGGCGATGCCGACGCCGCCGCTGTCGACCGCTGATGATGTCCGCCGGCCGGCTGTCGGACGGGCATTGCTTTACTGGGAACTAACCGGAAGAATGCGTGATTGAAAAACTCGTCGAATTCCATCCGGTCTTTGGCATTGCGGCGCAACAGTCGGGTCAGGAAATCACGTAATTCGGGTGACGTTCCGCTCGGAATCCTGTTGTTGTTGTTGTGGTTATTATTATCCCATCGGATGAGTCATTCATTTGAATTGAAGAAAAATATTTTTTTTTTTTAAAAAGAAAGAAAAGAAACAAAAATTTTTTTTAGTTATATTTTTTTTGATGTCATTATTCATTAGAATAGTATTATTTAATAATAGATATTAAAATTATTTATATTATTATATAATCTAATAGAGAGATGAGTACAGAGAGAGAGAGAGAGAGAGAGAGAGAGAGAGAGAGAGAGAGAGAGCAGAAGCGGTTGACTGAACCGAAAACTAAAGACACGAAAATCAAGTTTTTTTTCATTTATTTATTTTTTTAGGGGAATAACCATTGAATCAAAAGAAGTAGAAGAATATGAATAATAATTATTATAATTATAATAATAATTCAAAAAATCATACTTTGGTTTCAAATCGGGATTTTTTTCGTAAAAATTTTTCAACGCCTGCGGTGTCGACGCTTGAAACGGAGCCTTTCCAGTGAGACATTGAAAGACAATCGTCGCTATCGACCAGAGATCAGCTTTGGCGTCATATTTCAATGACATTATCACTAATATTGAACACAAAAACAACAACAAAAATCAATTGTCAATTATATAATAATAGGTAAATCAATAATAAAACGGTTATATATATATATATATATATACCTTCCGGTGCCATATACATGGGTGAACCGCACAGTGTGGCCGCCATAACGCCGTCCTCGAGAAATCGGGCGAAACCAAAGTCGGCAATCTTCAGGCGTATGTCGGCCGGCACTGGACTACCTCTAGGGTTGTCATAACAGAGCAGAATATTCTGGTAATACGATAGATATAAATAAAATAAAAATTAATTAATTAAAGTTAATTAATATTAATATCAATAATGTTTGGTATATATATATATATATATATAAATAAAAACAACTGTGTTTTGAAAACAAAAAATAATTGCATAACATATACGGTATACATAACACTGTATACATAGGATATGTATGTTTTTTTATAAGATAACGATTACCACATTTAATATGACTCTCTCTCTCTCTCTCTCTCTTTCTCTCTCTCTCTCTTTCAATATATCATAAGTATTACATAAGAAAAATAATATTTAAACGTTTTTGTATATATAAAATAACATAATGTTTGCGTCAATATTTTTTTTCAAATAACTTATTATCATATAAGCAATGAGTCAATAATTTTTATTATTATTATTATTAGTATTACTAAGTTTATTGCTATTTCTCACTCACTTTTAATATATAAAAATTATATATTATATTATTAATAATAATACAGTAATCCTATTAACATTTCAATATAATTTATTTATAATAATAAAAAAGTTATTTTTAGGTAAATGCTAAAAAAACGTTAGATATGCGTTAAAAATTACTTAATTATTATTTTAATACATATATAATATAATTAAATACTAATAATTATTATTAAATATGGAAATTGTGAGTAATATATAAGCAAAACATATTAACACACAAATTAAATATATATATATATATTAAAAATAAATATAAATATAATGCACTAAAAATGCACCTAACAATTGGTTAACAAATTGTACGATAAATTAAATTAAATTGAATGAATAATAATAATAATAAACTAATAATATTTTAGTAAATTCATTGCACAGTTGTATTATAAAAAAAAATATAATATAATTTTTTTTAAGGCAAACCTTTTTTTTAATATATAATTACAGTACAAGTATATCACTGTTTAATTATTTTTTGAAGGTTTATTATTATTATTATTATTATTATTATGATATCATTTAATAATTTAACGCATATTTATATATTTCACATGACTTTTTGTTGTTAGCAAACAAACAAACAAAATATTTATATATAATAAAAAAGTAATTAAAAAGTTAAGTATTTTTCTCTATCATTAATACTACCTAATCATTGATACCTTTAAAAAAAATTTAATTTTTTTTCAAAAAACAAACAATTTTTATATTGTTTGCAATGAGATATCATTTATAATATACTGTATATCCTATATATTTATAACACTCACGAGGTTTGTGGTAAACAACAACAACACATACATTATAACATACATAAGCCATGAATAATATCAATCAATCGACAACAACAACAGTCTTAAGCATTGGTGGTATTGAATGAGTGGATCTACAGCTGACTAAACACTATATAAATCAATGTCTTTGTGTTGTCTGTGTCGATGTCATTGTCTTTGAAATGTCTTTGCCTTACCTGCGGTTTGAGATCCCGATGAACAATATCTTTGGCCTTCAATGCCTTCATAGCTTCGGCAATCTGTTTGAAAAACACCCGAATCGTGTCCTCCGATAGCGTTCCTTTGGTCTGCAAATAGTCGGCCAAATCGCCGCCATTGCAGTACTCCATCACCAGAAACACATGAGTCTGTGTCTCCTTACAGTCCAACAGTGCCACCACATTGTGATGGTGTAGTTGTGTCAACTCGGATAGTATTTTGATCTCTTTGCCCAATAGGTTGTGCGATCGTTGCAAGTTTTTCTTGGTTATCGACTTAATGGCAACCGATCGGTTAGGTTGCTGTCGATGACGACCTTTGAATACCACAGCAAAGGCTCCGTGACCTATAAGGTCTTTGTGACAGTACTCGTACTGACCGACCACTTCCATGGCTTGGATGTCGATGATGTCAATGGGTTGACGGCGACACCACCACCACTGCTGATGATGGGTTAGGATTGATGACCACCACTGCTGATGGTTAGGATTAATGACCACCACTGCTGATGATTATGATTGATGACCACCACTGATTGATGATGGTTAGGTAGGGTTGACGACGACACCACTGATGATGGTTAGGTAGGGTTGACGACGACACCACTGATGATGGTTAGGTAGGGTTGACGACGACACCACTGCTGATGGTTAGGATTGGACGACACCACTGATGATGGGTTAGGTTGACGACGACGACGACACCACTGCTGATGATGACTGCAGTATTGATGATGAAGACACTGCAGTGTTGATGACACTATCACTTAATTAAAAATGAATCAATTGTTTGATGACATTATCACCAATTGGTTCTAGTGTTTGGTTTGTTTGGCATTTCAAAAGACGCCATTCATTTGTCAGTCAATAATAATAATAATAATAATAATAATAATAATAATAATATCCTCTAATGTTTACACACAATAGCACTGTTAGGATAGCAATGGCTTTAAAAACTGCTGTATATTTCAATGCTATTTACTATTTATTTATTATTATTATTATACAGTATTTATAGTAGTATTAAATGTTTTTCTCTATGTGTGTATCACTTGAATCACTGGTTATATACTGAATACTAGTTGTATTGAACCACTCATTCAATACATGTATGCCTTTTAATATATACTGTATATATGACTCCCTTTTATGCCCTCTCTCTCTCTCTCTCAGCTGACTCTCCCAACCAAATAACAAAAACATAACAACAGAGAGAGAGAGAGAGAGAGAGAGAGAGAAAGAGAGAGAGAGAGAGAGAGAGAGAGAGAGAGAGAGAGAGAGAGTACTAGAGTAGAGAATCAGAAACTTTTTTTTTTAGTGTTTTTAAGATTACCCCCAAAACCGCATAACGTGTGTAACCCAAACCGTTATATATCATATATATATATTTATTGTATATATATATAGGTAATACATAAATATAATCCAGGTTATCCAGGGATAATCTAGTTTAGAGACTAACCAACCCCCCCACCCCAAAAAAACTGTATATTTATGTGTGTGTCTATACTTTCCTAAACAAAAAAAAATCAGGTATTATATATATATATTAAAACGGTTTCAACCCTAAACCAATTAGCTATACACTGGTTGATTCACCTCTCTATGTATAAAGTATTAACACTATTTTACACACAAAGCACAGCCCTATCGCTAATACAGTATATACTATATAGTTGTTGTTGTGGGGTTGGGAGTGACGTCACACATACATACACACACACACGCATATCAATACAGTGTATATGTGAAGTTCACGTGATGTGCTGCTGCCATACCATACCTGCGCGCACATACATACACACATACATACACATACATACATACATACATACATACATACACATACACATACACATACACATACACATACACATACACATACACATACACATATATACACATACTGTACATAACAAGTAGAGACTAGACTGTGTGATGCCCTGAGCCCTGGGGGGCCAACCCTTGGTCTACATATAATATAAATATATAACTCGTTTTTTTCTTCCAAAAAATTTATTTATTTTGTTTGTTAATCAAAACTTCTCTCTCTCTCTCTCTCTCTCTCTCTCTYTCTCTCTATCACTAAATGTTATGTAACTCTATGTTCAAAGTCATGTGAGAGTAGAGTATAAGTAGTTTTATTTTGTTGTTGTTGTTGTTTAAGCGCACAGTCTATACACAAAACTTATATAAAAAAAACGTTTTTAGTTGTTATCTATATTACTATCAATAGGCGCGCAAAACCACATACCTATACATACATATACTGTTAGGTTGTATAGCATTTGTTATTCTAGTGGGGTGGGGGGGGTGGGTGGCTAGAAAAAAATGGTGGTCAACCATCAAATATATATGTATACTATACAGTGTACACACAATAGCCTATTGTTAGTCCCAACCCTATCCTAGGTTAACAATTTAACCCCCCCCCATCATCCCCCCTATTCTGTAAAAAATTATATTATATATATATTTTTAAAAGTAATTATTATTATTATTGTTATAAACTTTTAATTAAATTGTTATATATTTTATATACCTATCAATACAGTGTGAGTAATACAGTATTAAATTAATACAATTTATTTACTATTAAATACAATAAAGAGAGAGAGAGAGAGAGAGACACAGAGAGAGAGAAACAGAGAGAGAGAGAGACAGAGAGAGAGAGAGAGAGAGAGAGAGACATCTATTAACCGAAAAATTATTTTCAAAAATATAAATGTATTGTTTGTTTGTTTATTAAATAATATTGTTATTCACATATAAAACTGTAAACATTTATTATATATCATATGATTAGATAAAAAAAACAAATTTGTTTTGAAATTGTTTTTTAAAACAAAAATCATAAATCAATCATTAAATTGTCAAATAATTCATCCAAAAAAACAAACAAACAATTAATTTAATTAAGTTATTGTTTAATCAATTGTTAGATTAATATATATATATATATATATATATAAAATAAAATGAGTGATGAATTGTTTGGACAACAATTAATATCATTGGATCAAATCAAACAGGACGTCCAAAATCTAACAATCAATGATTGCCGTATTAATAGTATTAGTAATAATAATAGGTTTGCTATAAAATTATTATTATTTTTACAGTTAATAATTCAATATAAAACATAATGAATATAATACTACTGTATATAAACTTTTTTTTTGTTTATAAAAAAGTTTTTATTAAACAAAAATTTCTAATTTCTATTATTATTATTATTATTATTATTATATAAATATAGCCAACAATTGGTTCAACAAATCAAACAAGAGTTTAAAGACTTAACACTTAATAATAATACTAATAATGAAAGGTTTGTTTAATATATACTAACTATATATATATGATATGAAAATTAAAAAAAATCAATTATTAATATTTTTATTTATTGGAACTTTACTTAAAATTAAAACTTGAATAAACAATATATATATATATCAGGGTTAAGTAAGGTGGGGGGGGGGGTAGGGGAGGGTAAAGCCAAAATACCCTCCTAAGATCGAGATTTTGTGATTTTACCCAACCCAGACTTTTTGACCAAATTGGAAAAATTGTTGCTTAAAAACTATGAGAAATGACCCCCCCCCTATAAAAATTTTTATAACAATTTTAATTTTAGTTGATACTATTTTAGTAAGTGTTTTTATGTTTTTAATATTTATAAGAATCTAATTATTGATTAAAAATTATTAAAATAACGTTAAAACTCATCTAAAAATAACATTAATTTATTAAAAAATTTAAAATTACTTATTTGTTGAAAAGAGTAATCATATTACAACTTAAATAGAAGTTTAAGATAGCTTAAGAAGTTAATAAAACAATAAATACTTATATTATAAATTATTTATTAATAATTTTTGAATTTTAAATAACAAATTTAAAAATATTTTCAACTTTATACTTAATATTACTAAAACTTTAACGAAAATTGAGTTAAATAAGTAGTATTTAGTCAGTATTGTATAAAGATAACATTTAAAAAATAAAAATATATAACAAACTATAAACATTAAGTATTATTTAAAAAATTAATTATGTTAAGTTAAAAATTATTAAAATATTAAAAATAACTCATAGTGTATCATTAATGCTTTTATCAACTATTTTTAAATTTTAAATACTTTATTATTTTGTTAAAATTAAGTTTTTATTAATTTTTTTATATTGTGAATATTTACTTATTTTAGAGGAATTTATACTGGAACTTATAGGAATCCAAAACCTTGCTTAACCCTGATATATATATATATATATATATATATATTATAAAATTTATACTTGAATTCAATTAATACAGTATTATACTGTTTACTATATACTGTATATTGTAGTCAATTACAAAATTTTTATTACTATAAATCAAATTATTTGTGTTTATTACAAAATTTATTACAAAATATAATAATAATAATAATAATAATAATAATAATAATTTTATAAAGTTGTAGTAAAGATCAGCAAACAATGGCCGCTGCCGTCGGGGATTGGCAACATTTTTTCGCCCAACATGCCGGACCTCTTTTTCCCGACTTTCCCCGTCGATGGACAGCCATCGACGAAATAGATATGTTTTTCAGATGGAAAATTAATGACATGTCCTCACAGCAAACATCTAATAGGTTTGTATATTATTTTGTTGAATATTTAAAAAATATCATATCTATCGATATCTCAATGAATTGTACTTTCAATTGGCATAATGTTAGCAATAGTTTTGACCATTTAAGACAATCGCTGTTTAAATATTGAATTAATTGTTGAGATTAACCAAACAAACAAAAAATAATAATTAAAATTATTAGTAAATATAGTTTTTTAATTTTTTTTTAAAATTATTTTTATTATAATAATTATTATTATTACGCAATCAGAGTAGTGTTTGATGTGAATGAATATTATATTATTATATAGCAAACCTATTACTACTACTACTACTACTACTACTACTACTACTACTATCACTGATATGGCAATCATTGATTGTTAAATTTTGGACGTCCTGTTTGATTTGATTCAATGATAATGATAATTGTTGTCCAATTAATTGATCGCTCATTTTGTTTTTGTTTTACTTATTGATTGAAAATTATTGAAAACAACAATAACTTTATGAAAAATTTATTGTTTGTTTGATTTTTTTGTTTAATTATTAATTTATTAATTATTTTTTTTTGATAATTTAATGATAAATATAAAAAAACACAAAAATAGATATTTTTAAAATACTATTTTTTTAATGATATAATATTATATAAAAAATGTTTACAGTTTTATGTGTGAATAACAATAACAAACAATGTATTTATATTTTATTAACATTTTATTTTAGATTAATAGATCTCTCTTTCTTTCTCTCTCTCTCTCTCTCTCTCTCTCTCTCTATATATATATATATATATATATATATATATCTCAATGAATTGTACTTTCAATTGGCATAATGTTAGCAATAGTTTTGACCATTTGAGACAATCGCTGTAATTATAATTGTGTTATTAATTTTTGAGATAAACCAACAAAAAACAAATTATAGTTATTAGTAAATATTGTTTTTTAAGTTTTTTTTTATAAATACTTTTAATTATTATTATTACGCAATCAGAGTAGTGTTTGATGTGAATGAACAGGCAATCTGTTGACAATAGACATGAAGATTGTCTATCGGTGTCCAACCAAATGGTAGATCCGTTTGAGATATAAGATAATTGGCGACCAATTGTTGCCAACTAAGCGTCGATATTAATGTATTGTTAGATAATTACACACACAAAAAAAACAATTGAAATTATTATTATTATTATATTAACACACTTATAACACCATAAATCAATCAAATTACATATATATATATATACTGTATAAATATATAAATAAATTTATCCAGGTTTGCCGCATATTATGCCAAATCATTGGTACCGTTGGCACAGGCTAAAATGTGGCTTATGGATGCTTGGATTCAACCGTTACCTGGTCAGGCATTAACAATGTTAACCAAATGTCAAAATAGGCTAAAAGAGTTTGGCGAAACATTAATTTTTCTGCCAGAGTTTGAACGGTAACTATTATTTTGGTTGTTGATTGTTTTAAAAAACAAAATATTTTTTTTTAAATAAAGCGTCGTTCACATATTACGTTCGCACTTTTTAAGAAATTTAGACCCCCTCCCTCCCCTATGTTCGCAATTGTTCGCATGTAGTCATTTAAAAAAATTACGTTCGCATGTCACTAACCGCTACCCCCCCCCCCCACCACAAGAAATAAAATATTATTTAAATGCAAACGTTCTTAAAGACTATACCCCTCCCCTCCCCCTCGTTCGCAAAAGTTCGCTTTGACCAACCAACCCTCCCCTCAAGTGCGAACGTAATATGTGAACCACGCCTAATACAAAATATTAAGGGTTGGTAGAGCTATGACAGGCATAAAAATTTATGATAAAATAAAATTACCGCATAGGTTTTTTGTAGAACAGACCTCCCTGACTCCCCCTTTAATTTAAGTTATTCGACTAAAATTTTGAAAAATATTTTAAATTATTAATAAAAAACTTGTAATATAAGTATTTATTGTTTTATTAACTTTTTAAACTATCTGAAACTTATATTTAAATAGTAATATGATTAGTCTTTTCAACAAATAGGTAATTTTTAATTTTTCTGTTTAATATTTTAATTAAAATTAAGTTATTTTTAGATGAGTTGCAACTTTATTTTAACTAAAAATAACATAATTTTAATTAAAATATTAAACAAAAATATTAAAAATTCTTTATTTGTTGAATAGAGTAATCATATTACAATTTAAATATAAGTTTAAGATAGTTTAAGAAGTTAATAAAACAATAAATACTTATATTACAAAGTTTTTATAAATAATTTATAAAATTTTAACTAAAAAATTAAAAATATTTTCAATTTTATAATTAGTATTCAGTCAGTATTTATATTAAAATAACATTAAAAAATAAAAATATATATCTATAAACTATAAACATTAAGTATTATTTATAAAATTATTAAAATACTAAAAAAACTAATTGTAACATTAATGCTTTTATCAACTATTTTTAAGTATTAAATACATTATTATTTTATTTTTTGTTAAAATTTAAGTTTTTATTAATTTTAGAAATTTTACCTATTTTCTTGGAAAATTATACGGGAACTTATGGGAACTAGTTCGAATTTATATGGGAATATTCGGTAATTTAAGGGAATATTAGGGAATTTTCACTTAACCTCCCCTTTGATTTTGGATTTTTGAAAAAAATTGCCGTTTAAAAATGCACAAAATCTTAACCCAACCAATACCCCCCTAAGATTTTCGAGAATTATGTAAATTTTACCCCGGTCTACCCCCCCCCCATAAAATTCAAAACCTTGATTAACCCTGATATATATATATATATATTTGTTTATTAATATAGTGTAACTTTGACGACTGATAACACATACAAAATGTTAACATTTATGAAATCATTGATAACGGCATCAACTATTGATGGACCCGAAAGACAAAGACAACCAATTGATATAATTTTAAGATTGAGATATATTTGTCTAAAATTTAATCAAATTTTAGTTGAAAATGTACCTCAAGGTTATCCTAATTTATATTATTATCAACAACAAAGAAATGGTGCAATCGGTGGCGGCGGCGGCGGCTATGGAGGAGGCGGCGGCTATGGCGGCGGCGGCTATGGAGGAGGCGGCGGCTATGGCGGCGGCGGCTATGGCGGCGGCGGCTATGGCGGCGGCGGCTATGGAGGAGGCGGCGGCTATGGCGGCGGCGGCTATGGAGGAGGCGGCGGCTATGGCGGCGGCGGCTATGGCGGCGGCGGCTATGGAGGAGGCGGCGGTTATGGCGCTATCTATGGCTATGAATATGGCGTTGGGGGAGGAGGTATAGCTGATGGCGCACATCATATCCCGGCCGGCGGACATCATCATCGGTCGATAGCGGCTACGTCGGCATCGCCGCTACAGTCGCCCGTATCGTATGGTTTGTCGGAAACATCAACAACAACGGCAACACTGATGGCTCCACAACAGAACCGACAACCGCTGGTCAAAGCTGGCGGCGGTTGTGTTGATGGCGTCGATTCAGTATCGACTCAATCATCATCGGATAACTCGTGCAAACAAATGGACGAAGACTTTGTTATGGATACGGCCGACCCGAATAGTAATACAGTTATGGCCCGAACTCCGTCACCGAAACATAAGACGACAGCAACAACAAGACATGCATTTAAACACAAAGGTTCACCATTTGTCTGTCCCGGCGAACCACTACCAGTTCCCACACAAAAGGAAGCATTTACTGCACTAATTCAACGAAGTACTGGATCTAATTGTAGTTTAATTGGTGGCGAAAACAGTGGTAACAATAACAACAACGGTTTGATGGCTACCAGTCCGCCGACTACACCGAATGCCATTCATAAAGCTCTCCAGCGATACGATTCAAATACAGTTCGTTTGGGATCGACTGGTAGTGCAAATAGTACCACAAAAAAAAGTTTTATTATATAATTGACAATTGATTTTGTGTTCAATACAGTGATAATGTCATTGAAATATGACGCCAAAGCTGATCTCTGGTCGATAGCGACAATTGTCTTTCAATGTCTCACTGGAAAGGCTTTTCCGTTTCAAGCGTCGACACCTCAAGCGTTGAAAAATTTTTACGAAAAAAATCCCGATTTGAAACCAAAGTATGATTTGAATTATTTTTTTATTATAATCTTCTACTACTTCTTCTTCTTTTGATTGAATGGTTATTACTCTAAAAAAATAAATGAAAAATTAAATAAAAACTTGATTTTCGTGTCTTTAGTTTTCGGTTCAGTCAACTGCTTCTGATATTTATTTCTCTCTCTCGCTCTCTCTCTCTCTCTCTCTCTCTCTCTCTCTCTCTCTTTGTATTCATCTCTCTATTAGATTATATAATAATAATATAAATAATTTTAATATCTATTATTAAATAATACATTACTCTATTATAATGAATAATGACATCAACAAAAAAAATAACTAAATTTTTTTTTTCTTTTTTCAATTCAAATGAATGACTAATTCGATGGATAATAATAACCACAACAAAGGATTCCGAGCGGAACGTCACCCGAATTACGCGATTTCCTGACCCGACTGTTGCGCCGCAATGCCAAAGACCGGATGGAATTCGACGAGTTTTTCAATCACTCATTCTTCCGGTTAGTTCCCAGTAAAGCAATGGCCGTCCGACAGCCGCTACAGTCGCCCGTATCGTACGGTTCGTCGGAAACGACTACAACAACACTGTTAGCTTCACAACAGAACCGACAACCGCTGGTCAAAGCTGGCGGCGGTTGTGTTGATGACGTCGATTCAGTATCGACTCAATCATCATCGGATAACTCGTGCAAACAAATGGACGAAGACTTTGTTATGGTTACGGCCGACCCGAATAGTAATACAGTTATGGCCCGAACTCAGTCACCGAAACATAAGACAACAACAACAACAACAACAACAAGAAATGCATTTAAACACAAAGGTTCACCATTTGTCTGTCCCGGCGAACCACTACCAGTTCCCACACAAAAGGAAGCATTTACTGCACTAATTCAACGAAGTATTGGATCTAATTGTAGTCTTAAGTGGCGGCGACAGCAACAGTGGTAACAATAATAACAACGGTCTGATGGCTACCAGTCCGCCGACTACACCGAATGCCATTCATAAAGCTCTCCAGCGATACGAATCAAATACAGTTCGTTTGGTATCGACTGGTAGTGCAAATAGTACCACAAAAAGTAGTCGTTTTGTGGCCGATATTAGTCAACTGTCGCCACCAAACATACACCAGTTTATGATCGGTACGAATACATCGCCCGGTGCTGCTGGCGGTGGTGGTAGTGGTGGCGCTAATTCGGGATATTTGTCGCCCGGTTCGCGCCGATGCAGTGCACCGGCACTTAATGTCAATCCATTTCTCCGACAATTGACACCACTGTTGATGACCGGTTACGCTAACAGTGGACAGTCGCCACTGTTACCGGCCATATGTGACATCTATCTAAGTACCGGTATTTGAAATTAGCTTAAAATTATTTTTTTTTACTAAATTGTTTATAAAAAAAAAAAAAAATTATATCAATATATATTATTATTACTAACATTTTGTACTATATATTTATTAGTTATCGGTTTAATACTTATTTCTATTGAATAATAATAATAATATTTTGTTTGTATCAGAGATATGATAATAACTTTATAATGCTTTTAAAAAAAAATTAAATACAATACAATTAAATGTATGTAAATTTAATTTTATGTTTAATTATAAAATTGTTTTTTATATTATATATATTAAAGAGAGAGAGAGAGAGATAGAGAGAGAGAGAGAGAGAGAGAGAGAGAGAGAGAGAGAGAGAGAGAGAGAGAGAGAGAGAGAGAGAGAGAGAGAGTAAAAGTAATTATTATTATAAACTTTTTTTGTTGATTTTAAATATCATATAAATAATAATTATATTTTATATATTTTATATACCTATCAGTACAGTGTGTAGTAATACTGTATTAAATTAATACAATTTATTTACTATTAAATACAATAAAGAGAGAGAGAGAGAGAGAGACAGACAGACAGACAGAGAAACAGAGAGAGAGAGAGAGAGAGAGAGAGAGAGAGAGACATCTATTAACCTAAAAATTATTTTCAAAAATATAAATGTATTGTTTGTTTGTTTATTATATACAGTATTGTTATTCACATATAAAACTGTAAACATTTATTATATATCATATGATTAGATAAAAAAAATCAAATTTGTTTTGTAATTGTTTTTTAAAACAAAAATAAAATAAATCAATCATTAAATTGTCAAATAATTCATCCAAAAAAAACAAACAATTAATTTAATTAAGTTATTGTTTAATCAATTGTCAGAATAATATATATATATATATATATATATATATAAATAATAACAAAATGAGTGACCAATTAATTGGACAACAATTAATATCATTGGATCAAATCAAACAGGACGTCCAAAATCTAACAATCAATGATTGCCGTATTAATAGTAATAATAATAATAATAGGTTTGCTATAAAATTATTATTATTTTTACAGTTAATAACTCATATAAAACATAATGAATATAATACTACTGAATATAAACTTTATTTTTGTTTATAAAAAAAGTTTTTATTAACAAAATTTCTAATTTCTATTATTATTATTATATAAATATAGCCAACAATTGGTTCAAAAAACACCTAATAATACTTATACTAATAATGAAAGGCTTGTTTGTAACTATAAATAGTTAGATATGATATGAAAATTTAAAAAAAAAATCAATTATTAATATATTTTTATACTAAAATTCCTTTTAAAAAAAAATAATTTCTAAACTTGAATAAACTGTATATATATATATATATATATGTTTATATAAATAAATTAAATTAATACTTGAATAAAATTAATACAGTATTATCATTAAGTAGTGTATAAAAAACATTTTATTGGATTATAATAAATACTAAAAAAAAATATCAATAAATAATGTATAAAAATATTTAGGCCCCTAATGTCAATGTTTGCAATAGTATATATATATATATCAGGGTTAAGCAAGGTTTTGGTTTTTAGGGGGGGGGGTAGACCGGGGTAAAATTTGCAAAAATCTCGAAAAATCTTAGGAGGGTGTATTGGGTGGGGTAAGATTTTTATTGCATTTTTAAACGGTAATTTTTTCAAAAATTCAAAATCAAGGGGGGGTCAAGAAAAAATTCCCTAATATTCTCTAATATTCCCTTAAATTCCCGAATATTCCCATGTAAATTTGATAAAGTTCCCATAAGTTATTGTATAAATTCCCATGAAAATAGGGAAAAATTCCAAAAATACAAAAAAATTTAAAAATGAATAAAACGTAAATTTTAACAAAAAATAAAATAATAATGAATTTAATACTTAAAAATAGTTGATAAAAGCATTAATGATACACTATGAGTTTTTTTTTATTATTTTAGTAATTTTTAACTAAAAATAATTATATTTTTAAATAATACTTAATATTTATAGTTTTTTAGATATTTTTATTTTTTATTGTTATTTTTCAAATCAAATCAAATCTTTCAAATCAAATCATTTTTATATAAATACTGACTGAATACTAATTATAAAATTGAAATTTTTAAAATTTTAAGTTTAATTAAAACTATTTTAGTGTTTTTGTTTTTAAAATTTATATATTCGACACACACACACACACACAAAGGTATGGCCGCCACGAAACCGTAAGTATAGTACTAATTGTTTAGCTTTTCGATAGGACTCACTTAACACCTGTAGTTTGAAAACATACAAACATAAAAAAAACTTTTAACTATATTGTAGTCTATTAAAAACAAAACCAAATAACACAAAAAAATCAATGACTAACCTCTTTATTTGGTTTTGTTTTTAATAGACTTTACAATATAGTTAAAAATGTTTTTTTATGTTTGTATGTTTTCAAACTACAGGTGTTAAGTGAGTCCTATCGAAAAGCTAAACAATTAGTACTATACTTACGGTTTCGTGGCGGCCATACCTTTGTGTGTGTGTGTGTGTGTCGATTAACTATCGGTTCCGTTTCATCTTAATTGTAGCTCAAGTGGTGGCGATAACAACAAAAACAAAACATATATATATATATATATAATATATTTTTTAAATATTAAAAATAATTATAATTATAATATTTTTTTAGTTATTCGAGTGCCGTTAAACTGGCCAATCTGTTGGTCTCACTATCCCAGGCCAAATTATTGTTGCTGGACACGTGGCAACAACAGGCCGCATTTCGGGCACGTGCTATGTTAGCCAAGTGTGCGGCAAAACTAAGATCTTTTGGCAAATCTTTAAGTGATTTATTGTCCACTAAATTTCCAATCGATAGATTAACATGGTAATTTTAGTAATAATTTAATAATAATTTTAGTAATAATTTTAGTAATAATTTTAGTAATAATTTTAGTAATAATTTTAGTAATAATTTAATAATAATTTTAGTAATAATTTTAGTAATAATTTTAGTAATAATTTAATAATAATTTTAGTAATAATTTTAGTAATAATTTAATAATAATTTTAGTAATAATTTTAGTAATAATTTTAGTAATAATTTTAGTAATAATTTTAGTAATAATTTAATAATAATTTTAGTAATAATTTAATAATAATTTTAGTAATAATTTTAGTAATAATTTAATAATAATTTTAGTAATAATTTAATAATAATTTTAGTAATAATTTAATAATAATTTTAGTAATAATTTTAGTAATAATTTTAGTAATAATTTAATAATAATTTTAGTAATAATTTTAGTAATAATTTTAGTAATAATTTTAGTAATAATTTAATAATAATTTTAGTAATAATTTTAGTAATAATTTAATAATAATTTTAGTAATAATTTAATAATAATTTTAGTAATAATTTTAGTAATAATTTTAGTAATAATTTTAGTAATAATTTTAGTAATAATTTTAGTAATAATTTTAGTAATAATTTAATAATAATTTTAGTAATAATTTAATAATAATTTTAGTAATAATTTAATAATAATTTTAGTAATAATTTTAGTAATAATTTAATAATAATTTTAGTAATAATTTAATAATAATTTTAGTAATAATTTAATAATAATTTTAGTAATAATTTAATAATAATTTAGTAATAAATTAGTAATAAATTAATAATAATTTAATAATTTTAGTAATAATTTAATAATAATTTAGTAATAAATTAGTAATAAATTAGTAATAAATTAATAATAATTTAATAATTTTAGTAATAATTTAATAATAATTTAGTAATAAATTAGTAATAAATTAATAATAATTTAATAATTTTAGTAATAATTTAATAATTTAGTAATAAATTAGTAATAAATTAGTAATAAATTAGTAATAAATTAGTAATAAATTAGTAATAAATTAGTAATAAATTAGTAATAAATTAGTAATAAATTAGTAATAATTAATTAATATAAATATTAATTATTCCTTCTATTTTAGTATACTTAGCGTCAATTTAAATGCAATAATAATGATAAATGAATTAATGAATTTGATTGATGTATCGCAAAGAGAGGCAAATCTGAGAGATGGAGAAGCAGTTATTATTTACCATAATATCAGTTATACTGCAAACCAATTTCTTATAGGATTAGCTAATTTTCGGGAACTATATCCTGACCAACCACTCATGTTCTATAATCAACTTATAGCTAACCAACCTCATTGCGGAGGTGCTGCTGGTGATGGTGGAGGAGGTGCAGGTGATGGTGATGGTGATGGTGATGGCGGTTGAGGTGATGATGATGCAGGCGCTTACGTTCAAGGAGGCTTAGGCGGTTATCACGGAGGCGCGGCCGGTGGCTGTTATAATCAGATACCTGTAGGCGGACATCAAGCCGGATGGGTTGGCGGTTATAATTATCCATACGTTGCTCCGGCTGAATATCCATACTATCCTCAACAAACACCACACCGGATACTCAGATCGAGTAAAACGGAACCATCGATGGCTAACATGTCGTCGCCTAAAAGGCCGTTGGGTGGATTTGTATCGCCTCCCCGTGCGATCACCTACAGTGATATGCATGGCGGCGGCCCGGGTGGACAGCATAGTCAACAGCGCAGCCATCGGGCCAATCCATATCCTCAGATGTTTCCCTTTCACTGCGCTTATGGACCACATTCGCCGACAACAACAATAACAGTACCGTTACTGTCATCGATGGCTCAGTCGCCGACCGAACCGATAATGTTTACGGCACCGGAACTGCCAGAAGAAACACTACTCGATCGCGAACACAACGAAACGTTAGCCAAATTGAATTTTGTGTTAGCACTGGTCGATTGTATACAGGATTTGGCCGATACTAAAGCGTCGCCACTATCGGTATTAACCGAATCGGTTAACAACAACAATACGAATAGTAATAATGATAACAACAAAGAGGTTAGTCATTGATTTTTTTTCGTTGTTTGGTTTTGTTTTGATTTATAGTTATAATTAATAAAACATTTTATTAATTTTTTTATCTATCTTTTACAGAATATTCTGCTCTGTTATGACAACACTAGAGGTAGACCAGTGCCGGCCGACATACGTCTGAAGATTGCCGACTTTGGTTTCGCCCGATTTCTCGATGACGGCGTTATGGCGGCCACACTGTGCGGTTTACCCATGTATATGGCACCGGAAGGTATATATATATATATATATAACCGTTTTATTGTTGTTATAATTGATACTAAATGTTTAGACCATTTATTATATAATTGACAATTGATTTTTGTTGTTGTTGTTGTGTTCAATACAGTGATAATGTCATTGAAATATGACGCCAAAGCTGATCTCTGGTCGATAGCGACAATTGTCTTTCAATGTCTCACTGGAAAGGCTTTTCCGTTTCAAGCGTCGACACCGCAGGCGTTGAAAAATTTTTACGAAAAAAATCCCGATTTGAAACCAAAGTATGATTTGAATTATTTTTTATTATAATCTTCTACTACTTCTTCTTCTTTTGATTGAATGGTTATTACTCTAAAAAATAAATGAAAAATTAAATAAAAACTTGATTTTCGTGTCTTTAGTTTTCGGTTCAGTCAACTGCTTCTGATATTTTTCTCTCTCTCTCTCTCTCTCTCTCTCTCTCTCTCTCTCTCTCTCTCTCTCTCTCTCTCTCTCTCTCTCTCTCTCTCTCTCTCTCTCTCTCTCTTTGTACTCATCTCTCTATTAGATTATATAATAATAATATAAATAATTTTAATATCTATTATTAAATAATACATTACTATTATAATGAATAATGACATCAAAAAAAATAACTAAAAAAATTTTTGTATCTTTTCTTTCTTTAAAAAAAAAAAATATTTTTCTTCAATTCAAATGAATGACTCATTCGGATAATAATAACCACAACAACAACTATATCAACAAAGGATTCCGAGCGGAACGTCACCCGAATTACGTGATTTCCTGACCCGACTGTTGCGCCGCAATGCCAAAGACCGGATGGAATTCGAAGAGTTTTTCAATCACGCATTCTTCCGATTAGTTCCCAGTAAAGCAATGCCCGTACGTTATGACAACCCTAGAGGTAGTCCAGTGCCGGCCGACATACGCCTGAAGATTGCCGACTTTGGTTTCGCCCGATTTCTCGAGGACGGCGTTATGGCGGCCACACTGTGCGGTTCACCCATGTATATGGCACCGGAAGGTAACCAAATCACTGTTTAGACCTATTATTATTAAATAATTGACAATTGATTGATTGATTGATTTTTTTTGTGCATTTATTTAGTGATAATGTCATTGAAATATGACGCCAAAGCTGATCTCTGGTCGATAGCGACAATTGTCTTTCAATGTCTCACTGGAAAGGCTTTTCCGTTTCAAGCGTCGACACCGCAGGCGTTGAAAAATTTTTACGAAAAGAATCCCGATTTGAAACCAAAGTATGATTTTTTGAATTATTTTTTTTGAATTATATTATAATATAATTATAATATAATTATTATTCATATTCTTCTACTTCTTTTGATTTAATGGTTATTACTCTAAAAAATAAATGAAAAAAATAAATAAAAACTTTATTTTTGTGTATTTAGTTTTCGATTCAGTCAACCGCTTCTGCTATATTTCTCTCTCTCTCTCTCTCTCTCTCTCTCTCTCTCTCTCTCTCTCTCTCTCTCTCTCTCTCTCTCTCTCTCTCTCTCTATCTTTCTATTAGATTATATAATAATATAAATAATTTTAATATCTATTATTAAATAATACATTACTCTATTATAATGAATAATGACATCAAAAAATAAATAACTAAAAAAATTCTTTCTTTTTTTCACTTCAAATGATTCACTCATTCGATGGATAATAATAACCACAACAAAGGATTCCGAGCGGAACGTCACCCGAATTACGTGATTTCCTGACCCGACTGTTGCGCCGCAATGCCAAAGATTTCCACGAGTTTTTTAATCACTCATTCTTCCGATTAGTTCCCAGTAAAGCTATGCCCGTCCGACAGCCGTCCGGCGGACATCATCAACAGTGGACAGCGGAGGCGTCGGCATCGCCGCTACAGTCGCCCGTATCGTATGGTTCGTCGGAAACAACAACAACAACACTGATGGCTTCACAGCAGAACCGACAACCGCTAGTCAAAGCTGGCGGTGGTGTTGATGGCGACGATTCTTTATCGACTCAATCATCATCGGATAACTCATGCAAACAAATGGACGAAGACTTTGTTATGGTTACCGCCGATCCAAATAGTAATACAGTTATGGCCCGAACACCGTCACCGAAACATAAGACAACAACAAGAACCGTTGATGACCGGTTATGCCAACAGTACATAGTCGCCACTGTTACCGGCCATATGTGACACACCGGCTGTTGGTAGCCTATATGGACGGCACCGGCGGTAGTCCGACAATATGTTTAACATTATTACAGTGTACTACGGGTTCTCTTAATTCCTAAATTCCTCAAATCCTAAACACAAATCTATTGTTTTATTATTATTATTATTATTATTAACTACCGGTACTTGAAATTAGCTTAAAATTATTTTTTTACTAAATTGTTTTTAAAAAAAAAATTATATCAATATATATTATTATTACTAACATTTTGTACTATATATTTATTAGTTATCGGTTTAATACTTATTTCTATTGAATAATAATAATAATAATAATAATATTTTGTTTGTATCAGAGATATAATAATAACTTTATGTTTTTTTAAAAAAAAATTAAATACAATACAATTAAATGTATGTAAATTTAATTTTATGTTTAATTATAAAATTGTTTTTTATATTAGAGAGTTTATCTTATATAAAGAGAGAGAGAGAGAGAGAGAGAGAGAGAGAGAGAGTGAGAGAGTGAGAGAGAGAGAGAGAGTGAGAGAGAGAGAGAGTGAGAGAGAGAGAGAGATAGAGATATATATATATAGAGAGAGAGATATATATATATATAGATATATATATATATAGATATATATATATATATATATAGAGAGAGAGAGAGAGAGAGAGAGACATCTATTAATCTAAAATAAAATGTTAATAAAATATAAATGCATTGTTTGTTATTGTTTAATAACACACACACATAATAAAACTGTAAACATATTTTCATATCATTAAACAATTTAAAACAATTTGATTTTTAAAAAAATAAAAAAATAAATTTTTTGTGTGTTTTTATACCTGTATTTATCATTAAATTATCAAATAATAAAAAAAAAATCAAACAAACAAATTTTAATTCAAGTTATTGTTTGTTTTCAATCAATCAATAAGTAAAAAACAATAAACAAAATGAGTGAACAATTAATTGGACAACAATTATCATTAATATCATTGGATCAAATCAAACAGGACGTCCAAAATCTAACAATCAATGATCACTGCCGTATCACTGATAGTAGTAGTACTACTAGTAGTAATAGGTTTGCTATGATATTAATATTATTATTATTATTATAACAGTATATCATATCATAAATGATATTATTATAATATTAAAAAAAAATTAAAATATTAATCACTACTACTATTGATAGATATACTACTATATCATAACATATATAATTAAAATTAAATATTTTCMAAGATATCATTTTATGATATATAAAAAATTTATGGTTAAAATACAAAAAGTTTATATCAAGTYTATGATATAAACTTTTTTTTAACAATAATTTTTTTTTCATTTCTATATATATTAATAAATATTATTATTATTATTATTTACCGATACTTTTATCGATAGTCACCAATTGGTCCAACAAATCAAACAAGAGTTTCAAGATTTGACTATTAATGATACAACTAATGAAAGGTTTTTTTTTAATAATTGAAAACTAAAAAAAATCAATTATAATATATATATATATATTTAAAAAAATTAAATATTAATTTTTCAATTGTTATTTTTTTTGTGTGTACTGTATATAAACAGTACATTAATATCGACGCTTAGTTGGCAACAATTGGTCGCCAATTATCTTATATCTCAAACGGATCTACCATTTGGTTGGACACCGATAGACAATCTTCATGTCTATTGTCAACAGATTGCCTGTTCGTTCACATCAAACACTACTCTGATTGCGTAATAATAATAATAATAATTAAAACTATTTTATATATATAAAAAAATACTTAAAAAAACAATATTTACTAATAATTATAATTTTTTTTGTTTGGTTTATATCAACAATTAATAATTCAATTATAATAACCAGCGATTGTCTTAAATGGTCAAAACTATTGCTAACATTATGCCAATTGAAAGTACAATTCATTGAGATATGGGATCCAAAACTATCGGTACAATTAGCCGAACGTCGGTCACAACGATGCGCCCAAAAAGTACGGCAAATGATCGATCAGTACAGACTGATTGGCCATATGTGCGAACCGATGGCCAGAAATCGGTAAATCTATTGCACCCAATAGTTATAACTTTAATTACAAAAAATTATTTATTAATAATTGTTTTGTTTTTTGTTTGTTTTTTTTTTTACTTTTGAAGTATAAATATATTGATAGATAAAACTCGTTTCGTTGTCGACGATGTCTGCAAACTGATTGGCGTATCATTGGTGCCGACAGTTGGCGGTCAACGCTATCGACGATTACTAGACGTACGACAAGAGATGCAATTGAATTACCAATTGATTCAACAAAATGAACAACAATTACAACAACAACAACATTGA